ACGACAGATAAACAGTGGGCTCTTCCGTGATTTCGCATCAGAACACGGGAACTCCCAGGAGAATCCTGTGAAATTGTTGAATGTTTCCCCTCTACAGTATTTAAGCGGCTGTTTAAAACTCGCACTGACAACAGAAGCAGATCAAAGGCAGAGGCTGGAGATGGCAAACTGTTAGCCAGACGCAAAGCCATCTCTCAGAAAACAGAAGCAGCTTATGAATATTTCTGTGGCTGATCGGGGACATGCAGACGATCCTCCTCGGTGCAACAGTTTCTGCCATGTTCTTTAACAAATACATAAACAAACAGATAATTAATTCACAAAGCAACAATATAAAGGAAAGCGAAGTGGTGAAGAGACTCTGACGCTCCTCAAAAGAATACAACTCCCAGAGTTCTCGTTAAACACCGTAATACTCATGAATGATGAATAGCTATCTTGGCTCTGTTTACACTGTCCTCGTTTCTTCTACAAAACAACCAAAAATGACCCAAAATTGGATTAAAAAACAAAAAGATTCACAAATCTAAATATTAGCACAATAAACATATATTTAAGCATTTCTGTAATTGAAGTCTTTAACAGGGGTCTGCCAATTATTGTTTGATTTTTAACAAATTTTTGTGAAAAAAAGATACAATTAGTTAAACAAAAATACAATATTAAATGAACTTTAAATAAAACTAAAGTTCAGGTAAATGTTTTACTGTATCTCACACATTAATAAATACAATATTTACTACATATAATTATAAATGTACAAATACATGAATATATACAGTGGTGACCGGTAGTGTATACACACACACACACACACACACAAAAATGAAAAAAAAATAAAAAAAATTACATGATGGGAAAGGTGTTTAAAATGAAGAAAAACATTTAAGACTTTCAAATGTTCTAGATTGTCAAAAAAAAAAAAAAAGGACGTTTTCACAGTTCACATTTCACAGTTTCACAAAAACAAAAAGAAAAAAAACCAAAAGATAACATACTGCTACTAATATGCACCTTTTTAGGGGTATATAATCTACAAATTTGTCCCTTTAAGGGTACTGCCCCACTGACAAGCTGCTGTACCCACAAAGATACAATTTTTGAATAAAATAAAGAAAATTAAATAAACTAACCTTGGACAGCAAATACAAAAAGCCTTTAGAAATGTGAAGTTCTAAGAAAAGCTCTAAAATCATTAGATTTGCAGATGCCTCTTTTCAGATTGTGTATGTGATGCAGAGTCATTCAGACATTAAGTTTAACTTAAGTGTCTGAATACTTTGTGAGACCACTTTGCGACCATTACTAGAGGCAAGAAACATCTCCACAGTTGTACTTTGGGAAATGACTGACGACAGATAAACAGTGGGCTCTTCCGTGATTTCGCATCAGAACACGGGAACTCCCAGGAGAATCCTGTGAAATTGTTGAATGTTTCCCCTCTACAGTATTTAAGCGGCTGTTTAAAACTCGCACTGACAACAGAAGCAGATCAAAGGCAGAGGCTGGAGATGGCAAACTGTTAGCCAGACGCAAAGCCATCTCTCAGAAAACAGAAGCAGCTTATGAATATTTCTGTGGCTGATCGGGGACATGCAGACGATCCTCCTCGGTGCAACAGTTTCTGCCATGTTCTTTAACAAATACATAAACAAACAGATAATTAATTCACAAAGCAACAATATAAAGGAAAGCGAAGTGGTGAAGAGACTCTGACGCTCCTCAAAAGAATACAACTCCCAGAGTTCTCGTTAAACACCGTAATACTCATGAATGATGAATAGCTATCTTGGCTCTGTTTACACTGTCCTCGTTTCTTCTACAAAACAACCAAAAATGACCCAAAATTGGATTAAAAAACAAAAAGATTCACAAATCTAAATATTAGCACAATAAACATATATTTAAGCATTTCTGTAATTGAAGTCTTTAACAGGGGTCTGCCAATTATTGTTTGATTTTTAACAAATTTTTGTGAAAAAAAGATACAATTAGTTAAACAAAAATACAATATTAAATTTACTTAAAACTAAAACTCAGCTAAATGTTTTATAAATGCATAAATATATCAATAATGATTATTTTAATGGCTTTTTATGCCTTATTAATATGTAAATTGGGGTTATACATCCATCCTATCCATATCCAAAGTTGAAGAACCTTGATCTAGATTAAAATGTATCCAAGTAACAGAAAATAAGTGGTTAATAGAGGAGGTAAAAACCACCATGAATGATTTCTTTAGTGTGAATACAGCCAGCCATATGATTTGCTTGTGAGATTCGGCGGAGCGGGACGAACGCTAGCCACGGGGCACGAGTGACGACAACGCTTTCAGATTCGAGGAGACGCTTTGATAACATTCTCTTCATGACCATCACAAAACAACGGCTGTTTTTGTTCTCGCTGAATGGAAAGCATTCGGCCTGCATTATTCACAGCAGATCCTGGTCCTGGGTTCTTGCAGAAATGCCGCACTATGAAATTTTTATCACTTGAGGAGGAGAGATGAGAGACATTTCAATTTTTCATTGTCTGCTTAAACTATATTATTGTTGCGTGACAACAGAGAGGGAAAAAGCAGTCTGGATTTACAGCTGCGCAAGACATCTGCAAGCTCATGTGACATATCCCTGTCGCAGAAACACTTCCTGTGTGTCAGATGTATTGAATCAGTAAAACAAACACAAAACAAAGAGTTTCCAAGTAGCTAAATGGCTACAATGAGTGTGTTTACATGTAAAACAAAACCCTATTAGAGGTTTCAAAAATGCAAGAAAAAAAAAGCCTAGAAATTTGAAATAGAATACTGGTTATTGGCTAATACTGCAGTTTTTATTTTTATTTATTAATAAATATTAAACATGTATTATACATATAAATATCAAATTAAATAATAAATATTTATTTACTTTTTTTTCCATGACCTTGTTGTCAGGTTATTAAGCAGAATCTGTGCATGTAATCACACTCAATGTTATGTAGACTAAATGTGAAAATGAAGCAAAAAAGAGAGGTGAAAAATGAGCGGACGGGACCATATTCTCCTCCTTTAAAGGCGGCTCTTCCCTGTCTAACTGGAGGCATGTTACTAACGCCTGTTTAACTCCTGTTCTAGGTCACCATGAGATAAACACACTTCATTCAGCTTGGCCAAACCCCAACCATTAAGCAGCAGTGGCGGCCCATTCATGAGCTGCACTCTCAGGCCGAGGTCCTCTGATTAATTAGCACACGGGGCAGTGGCTTCCAAAAGAGCACAGACAGAAGGGGAGCTCCGGGGACAGCGGGAGGGAGCCGGGTGAGTGGGGGAGACGATACCTCTGACTGCCGGCCAAGAAAGCGCTACAGAGGGAAAATATTCCAGTAAAGTGTCTCCCTGCTGTCCAACACTAGACTGCATCATTTTCTTTAATATCCTGTATTAAACCATCATCTACAGCCAGCAGGATGAGTTAGACTGTAATGTTTAAACTATGAAAATAACTGTCAGTGCACAAGCTGAGAATTTTGGTATGTTTAAGACACAACATCACTGACTTTGCCTGGGAGCTATAGCGAATGACACTTAACGTGGTGATATTTATGACATTTATTAACATGAAAATTATTTTTTGTTTATCAGTATCGGACACATTTTTTAAATGTAAGTTGTGTTTAAGACACAACGTCACCTTTTCTGCCTGGGAGCTACAGTGAAGGTTAAAACCAATGATACTTAAAGTGATATTTATGATATCTTTTGACAGGCTCAAATTTGTGCATTTTAAATTCAAATTCTTGTGGAATTTAAAATAATAAATAAAACTCACGGGACAAACAATTCACCCCAGGGTTATAATAAAACAAGTGTCAAATAAAAATAGTCAATTTAAAAGATTTCATAACTGAAGTAAAATAAAGAAAACCGAAAACTAAATAAAATGGAATATCTGAACTATTTCATATTTAATGCATAAATAATTCAAAATTTTTGAATGTGAGTAGATTGACATTTAAAATAACCAAGATCTTTGAGTAAAGAAGTACTGTGGCTTTATATACATGTATGTATGTATGTACAGTGGGTACGGAAAGTATTCAGACCCCTTTAAATTTTTCACTTTTTGTTATATTGCAGCCATTTGCTAAAATCATTTAAGTTAATTTTTTTTCCTCATTATTTTGGAAATATATGTGTGTGTGTATTTATATATACATAATAAATGTACACAGTATGCACACATATATTATGTGAACAAAAACTTATTTTGGATGCGATTAATCGCGATTAATCATTTGTTACATACTATAATAATAAATTATACATACATATATAAAACCACAGTACTTCTTTACTCAAAAATCTTGGTTATTTTAAATGTCAATCTAAACTCTAGCAATGTTTTTTTTTTTCAACTGATTCCTTTACAATTATATATACACTATACAAAAAAAACTAACAGAAATATGTCCATAGAATAAAAACTAAACTATTCCTGAAACTAAAAGCTGAAATGTAAAAAAAAGAAAGAAAATATTCTAAAAATAACTACTTTGATCGCAAAGCTAAACATAATAATGAACAATATGAATAATACCGCAAAGCAATAATAACCTTGGTTCACCCCTACTCTCACAAAAACGAGCCCCCTACTGGAGATACAGAGTGACAAACCCAACCAAGATAGCGAATCAAAGACTGAGTGCTTTCTAATGTAAAGCCTGGCAGCTTCTCCCTCATGACAGGCCTTATGCTCTCCCTCGTCTCGCTACCTTTCCCCAAACGTCGGTCCTCTGTTCCCACACATCTTCATCTTCCAGAAATAACCCCCATTTACTCACATAACAGCTTCCAGAACATTTTCGCTTCGGTACAGAGCAGTCCCAAAAGACGCACTCAACCGCCCAAACTCTCTCTCTCTCTCCTTCTCTATCCTCCTCCTGCTCTACCACTCTTCCTGTATGAGAAAACTCTCCTCAGAGGCTGACGGCAGGCTGAAAGCTCCCGGGGACTGTCAGAGTATTTCATTATTCAAACAATGCTGGAAAGTGGAGCCAATGATCACTTCAGTGGTGCTGATTTGTCATGGTGACTAGACGAGGGAGGGAGACTTCACAGCGCACAGGTAAATTCAACAACTTTATCTTACTCTGCTTCTCTCAGGGAATAACCAACCAAAACTCCATTAAAACAGATTAAGAAGTTGGATGCGTAGCCGAGTGGTTAACATACGTGCTCCGACACACTGAGCCTCAAAGTTGGAATTATAGCTTAGCGGTTAGCACACATTTAAACGGTTAAAGTTCGAATGATAGACAAACACACATGCACCAATATACAGAGCTGTAAGAAGGTGGACTCGGCAATGGTTAGTGGTGATAGGCCTGTCACGATATTAGATTATCACTGCACATGATTGTGGTCAAAAGAATTATTAATGACATCCACATTATTTTCCAGCGCAGAATGAGAAAGTGTGAGACTTCTGATTCATTAGTCACTATACATAAATAACTAGAAGAATAACTGTGCAATAGTGTGGAGTAAAAGTGTAACAGCATTCTCTCTCTCTCTCTCTCAAAAAAAAAACACTAGCTACTGGCACGCAATGAACCTTGGGAAAGTCGGGGCTGCGAAGGATCCATCTGTAGTATCCTTCATGGCCTGGGAAATGAAGGACGCATTTCAAGGCTGCATTTGAAGGAGCCTTGGAACCTGAACAGCCTTTGTCGTGCCGCTCTGAATTGGAACAAAGGCACTGTCTTCAAAATTGCAGAAAACGCAAATTCAATTCCACTCCCAATCCTTTCCAGACCTACCTATACCTTTCAATACAGTGGCCAGAACATGTAAGAAACAGAGGGAATATGAGAATTCATCAGTCTTAATAGAAGTCAAACAGAAACGAAGCTAATAAGCAAAATGACTTGCTTTGCACTTCAAAAGGGAGCCGACAGAAAAAGAACAGCATCAGAACGAAGAGAATGAGCAGAACTGATAGATGAATGAGTTGTTTTCAAACAATGCAGTAATCTGAGAAAACAGAGTCTTTCCCGGGAGACGTGTACTATGACATCACGTACGTCCAAACACGGCCATCAACAAGCTAAATCACTCGCATTACACCAAAACAAGTAGAGAAAGAGAAGTGCCGTCAAGCAGGGCACCACAACATATGGCTGAAGACATCTTAGCTCTGGGGGTTCTTAAATGTTGTTTTTCTAACTAGGTCCACACTAAATCTGACCCTGCAGATTTACATAGAACCTCAGCATTCGATGTTCTTCGTATCCCTCACTTCTTGATTGTTTGATTATTAAATGTTTTGCTACTCTTTATTGACAGAACAAAAGAAAAAAGACAACTATTTGGGGACTGAGAGAGTTTCTTGCATGAGCAGCAAGAGGCAACCACTACTAAGCTCCAACACACAAAACAGTTCTTCAATGTATCTCAAGGGTCTGTATTCAGGTTCATTTTTTGGCTTGTACAGTAAACCTGAGGTTGGTTTCCCAGGCTTTTCAGAGCACAAAGAGGAAGCAATGTCACTTACTGAATTCGAGGGCATCGGTACATTGGTTTCAATGTATGTCTCCGTCTTGGGCTCCACAGCAAGCTCCGCCTCCAGGATCTTCTCCACAGGCATGTCTTCGTTCGCACTGCTGGTCGACTCCACCTCGTTCTCGCTGCGGTCCTTGGCTCGTTGGCGCTCCTCCTGGACGGCTGTATGTAATAATACTAGTCACGGTCACTACAGTTAGTCAATCAAGAAGTCAAGACACATAAACACTGATATCAAGCTGATGCCAACAAATTAAACCACAGGTTTTTATACTCATTGACCCCCAAAAATAATGGACTCTCAAATATGATTATCCTCTTGCAAATATAATTTATTTTCAAGTATAAAAACCTATTTATAACTACATGAGAGAATGCAGGATATTATGGAAAAATAAACAATTGGCTTATATTATTACTTTGCTGAAGTATTGTATTATTAATATTATTGAGACAATACTGACTTGTATTAAAGGGATAGTTCACCAAAAAATAAAAATTCTGTAATTAATTACTCACCCTCATGTCGTTCCAAACCTGTAAGACCTTCGTTCATCTTCGAACACAAATTAAGATATTTTTGATGCATTGCGAGAGCTCTCTGACCCTCCATAGACAGCAAGGAGATTGTTAAAATAATTTGTGACATCAGTGGTTCAACTGTAATATTACGAAGAAAACAAAAATAACTTTATTCAACAATTCGTCTCCTCTGCGGCACCATTTTGGAGAGTATCACTTCTGTAAACAACGTATGCTGTTCCGTGTCAGCAGCACTGTACGCAGATACACTGTTTACATTGTTTTTACGCTTTGATCTGAACGTAAACAACGTATCCATGTACATACATTGTATACGTTGTTTACGTATGTGATACTCTCCAAAATGGCGCTATAGGGTGACGGTGAGGAGACGAATTGTTGAATAAAGTCGTTATTTTTGTTTTCTTTGCGCTCAAAAAGTATTCTCGTAGCTTCGTAATATTACGATTGAACCGCTGATGTCACAGATTATTTTAACGATCTCCTTGCTACATTTCTGAGCCTTGATCGTGTAAGGATCCTTGCTGTCTATGGGAGGGTCAGAGAGCTCTCGGAATGCATCAAAAATATCTTAATTTGTGTTCCGAAGATGAACGAAGGTCTTACAGGTTTGGAATGACATGAGGGTGAGTAATTAATGACAGAATTTTCATTTTTGGGTGAACTATCCCTATAAGTATATTTCAACCACCAATTACTGCTAATGATTTTATTTACAATTTGGTTGCTAGACAAAATGAGATGTTTTGTAACATGTTTCTTGTCTCTGTGGCTTCCTCCAACAAGCTTTAACAGATCAGACATTTGATCAGCTCAGAGAAACAGGAAGTGGTTAGTGTTGAACAGTCACTCAGTCTGACTGTGGCCAGAGCTGTATTAACCACAATCCAAGCCCCTGTGGTTAGTGCGTATGTGCCGAGCACAGTTCATCCAAAAGACTCCAAACCCAGTCCCTATTCACAGCACATTCAAACACACAAACACTAAACGTTCTCTTTTCCCTAACCCTTCAACTGTTTTCCTCAACAGTGAATCACAGAGGCATCGCGGTGGTGGAGGGGTTCCGAAACGGGGGGATTCTGCTTTACAGAAAAAGTGCTGTCTGGAGGTCAGCCCAAGGGCAAAATACTTCTCCAGGAGTCAGAGAGAGGTGAGAGTGGCTGAAATCACGTTAGCTTTATTTCCCCTGGAGAGAAGGAGAGCATAAATTCATTTAATCCTGTTTTTCTGCAGATTCGCTCAGCTCTTTTTGGGACAAGCGTGGCCCAGGCCTCCTGTGCCTCGGGGTACAGCGCAAGCTTATGGGATACAGAAAGAGGCGAATGCAAGCAAATGATCATATCCTTGAACGAAGCCGTGATGATATAAATAAGGGAGACGAAAGGTTGCTCTAGGGTCATAGACAGTGGGTGTGAGAGCAAAACGTCATGCATGTATGATCGCAGTGCTCTCTCTTCGTCTACAGGGGAAGGATTTACTCTCTCACGTTAAACAAGAGCTAGAGATCTGGGAAAGGGACTGGATGTTGGCTATGCAATCTATAGCCATAACAATAATTTATGAGGCCAAACTTGCCTGACTGCTTGCAAAGACACTGACTTGAGTTCAGTTTAGGGTTGTTTTAAACCATGTTTAAATGTTTAAGCTTGGGGATGTATCATGAATGAACTGTATTATATATGAAAAGAATTTGAAACTGATCATAAGTTGATACATATATAAAGAAAACTGATAGAAAATAAATAAAAAACTATAAACACATACACACAAACACGCAGAGCTATATATATATATATATATATGTATATATATATATATATATATAAAATTAATTTGAATATATAATACTTTTCTATATACAGTTACATAAAAATAATTTGAAACAGATTCTTCTAATTTTACTAAGCTAATTATTATTTATATAATTCATGACATACCTGGGCACAAATAATTATTAGATTATTTTTTATTAAATGAATACTAAAATAATAGTTAATAGTCAATAGTCGATGTTTATGTTTGTCTGAATGTGGAATTGTACATAGCAGAGGGTTTAGTGGTTTTAGACACACTAAGCTAAGAAAAAAATAGCACACATTAGCAACAATAATGCGTGTAAACATGTCTATATGTAAACAGGCATGCAACACACGCTATAAAAGGAGTTCATCGGTTCAATCTTAAAAACAGATTCTCTGCAGACAAAATGATTCTAAAAAAAACATTGAAAAACTCATCTCAATCTCATAAATCCAAAATTATTCTCTCTGACTGAGGGGAAAAATATAGTCTCTCAGATCAATATTCCACCAGCTGTGTGCTAAAATCTTCTATTAGCATGCTTAAGCACGTTCACGTCTCTTCTTGGGGACAAGTGTGCAAAAAGTGCTAATGCCCCATTTTCTTCAGTGTGACAACCCACCCCTCACCTCTTCCTCTCTTTCATCTCTCTCTGCCTCAGGTGATGATTTGGGAAAAAATATGGTCTTCTATATTTAGCAACAAAAAACACACACCACCTTGCATCAACGAGCCATTTCCTGTTTTCTCTCAGTATCTTGCGAGTACACTACCTGGAATCTTAAGTACAGTCATCGCTCATAATGTGCGGAACAAACTCGTTGACCATTGTCTCACCGTGAGCTGATCGGCAGACTGAATGTCTAGCGAGCACTAATTGAGCGCTGACCTGCTGTCTTGACTATTTAATGGTTGATTGAAATAATATGAATGTTTCTTCTAGAGTCACACAGAGATGAGATTGTGTCTAATAGCGAGTACAAAAAAACATCTCGTCTCACGATGGAAAGCTCAGGTCAGTCAGTGCAAAGAACGATGGACTCCTTCAACCAAGTCCTTAAGTACTTCAGCTAACACAAATGGATGCTAAAGGGGCATTTACATAGCATTGGAAGTCATTTATTTTAATGAGAGCTGGTGTAGTGAACAGTGCTATAAAATTTCAGAGGGAAAAAGCTAAATCTTCTATCCTCAACTTTATGTGCTGTACCTTCTCTCTTCATGCCCATGGCCAAACACTTCTGATAGCGGCAGTACTGGCAGCGGTTGCGCTGGCGTTTGTCAATAATACAGTCCTTGCTGTCTCGACAAGTGTAGGTCAGGTCCTTACGCACAGTCCTCTTGAAGAAACCCTTGCACCCCTCGCAGCTGTACACACCGTAGTGTTTACCTGTTGAAAAAAATTCAAACACAGAAGCCTAAGGAGTTATGTTCAGGTCTACAATGATAATAATTCATGGAACAGGGATTGTGGGATTTGAACCTACAACCTTTCAGCTGAAGTGCGTTAAAATACTGTCTTCTATCCCAGCTTAATATTCCAAGACAACTATAAGTATCATCTTGTAGTGTAAACACTGTCTCTGTGCTGCTTACAAAATATTGCACTGTTTCCCGGCTGAAAAAAACAGTTTAAACCAGCCTAAGCTGGTCTTCGCTAATTTCCCAGTCTGACAGAGTTTGTTTAACTAGCTAACTAGTTAAAAAGTTCCCAAAATCCCTCTAACACCACCCAAAAGAGGATCTTAAATGGACTAGAACACTAGCGTCCATCCCAACCAGCCCTGCATTGCAACATTAGAACAACAGTTTGCATTTGGGGCTGGATTCTTTGTTTGCATGTATACACTAGCCTAAGCAGGACTTAGCTGGTTTAAGATGGTTTCCCAGTCTGATTTAGCTTGTTTAGCTGACTAACCAGTTGAAAAGTGCCCAAAACCCTTCTAAAACCACCCAAAAGATGACCTTGACCAGGCTAAAAGATCAGCCAAGACCAGAAAACCAGCATAGACTGGTGTTTAAGCTGTTTTTTCCATTCCAACCAACCCTGTACATCAACACTGGCCTAACAGTGTCCATTTGAAGCTGAACTGTCTGTTTGGCACTTATAAATCAGCCTAAGCTGGTCTCCCAGCCTGATTAGGCTTGTTTAGCTGGGCAACCGGCTGAGAAGTGCTCATAACCCCTCTAAAAGACCACCTTGACTAGGCTAAAAGACTGTCCAAGACCAGAAACCCAGCTTATAAACTATTTTTAAGCAGTTTTTTCCCACCCCAACCAGCCTTGATCAAGCAACGGATGCTAAATTTTGTACGTTTGGGGCTGGACTACTGGTTTACATGTATAGTGTGTGTTTTGGTACCTGAGGAGCGGTCGCCACAGATGGCACAGATGTGTTTGGTGAGGGAAAGGGGGGTGCCCAAGGGCTGGGCTGGCACCTTCATCACACCGTTGATGCCCAGGGGCGGCTTGATATCTTCTGAGCTGCTGACAGAGTTCATGGGTGAATTCAGCTGCAAAACATAAGCAAACAAACAACATATCATTTAGACACATGTCAACGTATCAGCTCTAAGGACCTGACTGAAAGAAAGCCTGAGTTCCAGAAGGCCCTGACTTTTCTGTCAATTTCTTCAGTATGGGACCAGCGTTGAGATTTCAGATTGACTTTGTGCCACCTAGGCTTCTCTCATCTGATTACGCTCTCTCTCCTACTTCCTCTGAATGTAAGTACAAGA